CATGATAAAGACTGCCGCGACGCCAGTTGTGATAATCGCAATCGTAATGGTAATTCGGAAGTAACGTAATTCTCGCGTAAGTACTCCGACCAGAACTAAGGCGCGAGCGAAATAGGAACTCGTGAGGGTGACAGAAGTAAAGAATTATATTCGCGCACTTGTAAGGTACATTGTGTCTTACGTATATTAAAACAAGTACAAGTCCAAAGTCTTTATGTGCAATCACCACAGAAATGTTCAGTAACCGCGGTGGGATTCAGATCCGCGAACACTGAAACCGCCTGGGTTGATGTACAGCACACCCTCCACCAGCTGAACTATAAGGCCACACTGAAAGATCACTGATCTTTTCATATTCGAATCACCTGTCCAGAGGCGTATCGCATTCACCCAGTTAGCAAGCAATCTGGCTGCCCCGACAGGTTTTCCTTCGAAGTCACCGGAGTCCACCGAATGAAGCCCTAAGGCAAGGCTAAGTTTTCCAATTGTTTTTAGCTCAGTTGGTAGAGTGTGCACTGTACAAAAGTGATAGTTGTCGTCCATGCATGGGTTCGAATCCCACTGAGGTTTTTGAACTTTTCAGAATTTCAACCATTCTATTTTGCTTTTGCATTTCTTTTCTTTTTTTTCTCTATTCAGCACGGCCATCATTGTGCATCTTCGAAAGCGCACCGTGCAATACGAATTGTTGGAATCACGTACACACTTGCCCGATAGTGAATGGAACAATATTCGCGAAGTCGCTAGCCCTCTCACCGGGCTTTTCGCTCCAGTTGCAATGGCTATTCGTCGAGGCTGGATACGTCTTGGTGAACAGAACGAATATGTAGATCCAACCACGAAATCGTCGATCCCGCTTTCTCGAGCCTACCAATTGGGAAGAATCCGGCTGGCCAGTTCCAGTCCAACACGAAGTGCTCAGCCTACTTTGCCAATTCTCCTGCTGATTGAGCGAGTGTTCTTCAGCTGGAGGAAAACACAACTGGTCAGTGTAGTCGATACTGCTCGGGGTGATGTTTTGACCCCAGAGATAGCACTGCAAGCTGGCATTCTGGAGACGACCGAGGATGAAATTCGGTTTATGGACACATTGACCAACACTTGGATAACCATAGAGGAGGGTGTCGGACGACAGATTATACAAGTGGATGAAGTTGACACATCCTCCGATTCGGCTTTGGAAGACATTGACGAACCAACCACGTGTCGTGTATACCAACTCACACATCTGTGTCCTGGAGGAGAGCCAGGAACGTGGATCTCACCTTTGGAGGCCGCTCGGTTGGGTCTGTTCAAATGGGAAACTGGAGATGTGGCAGCAGATTGGCCTGCCCGCCCTGTTCTAAGACACGCGGATCCGATGGGTGAATGGCCAGCCGATGCGTTTGTTCCGACAAACTGGTGCTCTTTTCTGACTGCCCGACATGCAGGTTGGTTGCGATTGACGGAAGAAGAAGATCCAAGCCGTTGGATAGTGACTGATGGTGTACCATATCAGGAACCGAACTCTGTTCTTCTTTCGACTCAGATCAAATTGATCGCTCACACTGATAGTCCGGTCAGTCCATTCATTGAACGTTACGTGATGCCTCAATCTGTCCCGATTCCTGACACATCAGAAGTCTATTCAACCGGGGACACTGGGGCAGGTTATCTACATTACCCTACGCAGTTGCCAGACTCCGGTCGAGCAGTCGTATCCCATCGCGCTCGTTCATTTGAACGTGGCCAGCGCAGCTACCAAGAAGAAGCATCGGAACAATTCTTCACTGAGACCATATCACAAAGACGTGTGCGTCATATGTCACAAGAACCTTACTATCCAACCGATACTTTTGAATCCTCCGGATCATTTTCACCGTCCGGTTAATCGTGACTCCCCACTTGATACACACACACACATTTATTACATGTGAAAATCGATTCAATTTGATAAATTTGACAATTTCACTACTGAGACATGCTGTGTTCTCCGTGCTGTCCGAGGCCAGAACCAACAAGTGTTTCCATTTCTCACAAGAACTCGACAACAACATGCTGCTCTATTTGTGAACTTTGTCATGATCTCACTAAATATTTTCGTACTCCCCCGAAACTACTTTCGCAACATGGTGAGTGGATCCGGAAAAAAATGTTCTATCCCCAGAATAATGAAGTGTCAGTACATGTTCTCGTTTGGTGCGTATTTCGAGCAAATTCAATACACGAGAAAATCACATTCATCTGTATGAANCCCCCCCTCCCCTCGAATACCCGCTCCTGTCACCCTATTCAACTCATAGTGCATCATGCACAGACATACAAACTCTAAACTTATCAATCAATATTAGCTGATTCCAGTTGTGTGGGTCTGTAAACTCTTGTTCTTTACTCACCTAAGCTATAATATGTAGCCATTTTGTAATTTACTCTTTGTTTCGTGATCGCAATAATTGCAAACTTACGAAATTAAAACAAATATGTTGAATAATCGTTTTTATTTGAAAATCGTTTTTACATGATGATCACAAATGTTCCCGCTTCCACCTAGCCACTGCAGTTTGTTTTTTGCGCAATCATCGCAACAAATTGGGTGGNCCCCCCCCCCCCCCCCCCCTTGTTCTCCCTGTCTCTCTCCTTGTGTCACATCTACACCGTTAGCGTCCACAGTTACGCGTTCACTCTCGAACGACCGGTCCGGTTGGTATCAACTTGTATTCTCCTATTCAAAACAATCGCGACTCATGTTGCGTGTATCTATAGAGACAAATAGAAAGACCAAATGAAGCATAATGACCAAATTCAATTCAAAACATTTTAAGATATATAATTCTATCATCCGAGGAGCCGAAGTGCTCACCACTCTGTCTAGTTAGATAGCATCACAGCTTGCCTGTGCAGAAGCGTCGTCAGTCTGAACCACGAACGTTTTTTGGGTGGAATGAATGCAAGTAGCATTAGGCAAACCGTTTCACGGATGAAATAATTAATAAAACAGAGCGGAATACACCACATCCGGATCAATGCTAGCTAGTTATCATGAGGGTGAGCGACAATGAGATTGTACCAGTTTGATAGATGAATGAGAAAATCAAGTGTCACAGGTGATGAACGGGACATGATAGCTGGATACCATCCTGGATAACGGGTAGATAAAGGTGGGGATCCGGAGCGTTGTAAATGATATGCACACAACCTCCGAATTGGGTGAATATTGGGGTGGAATAGGCTAAAATACTTCAATCTGCCCCGCCCCTCCGCCACACGTTCGTCTGCTAACACACACACACACACACATGATGGTGCCCCAAAAAGGTGATCGCAGAGCAAAATAGCAGCATTTGCACGACCCGTTGGTTGTGCGAGCGAGCGAGCAAGCGAAAGAAACAGTGTTCACATTAGGTTGTAAATCTATCCGAAGAAAAACACGTGACAGCGAACAAGCTCGTTTCATCTACAAACTAATATATCACAATTCATGTCCATGTGTTTAGTAGGAGGGGCAAAAAGTGACAAAATGGGAAGAAAAAATTGTCAAAATTCCACTTCCATGTTGCTCACACATACGCACTGATCTGGGTCATTAGGGGCAGGTCGTGGGTGCGGCGGCGGGGTTGGGGGTTCGAGATGACTGTGTCGTGTGTGTGCGTGTGCGTGCGTGTGCGTGGTTTTGGCCCCGGAAGACTGAGTGTTCTTACAAATTGTGGTGGGTTTAGATCGCTTCCGCTTTGGGCCCAAAATGCAACTCTTAATCCCCTTAGCTCGGCGGATGCGAACTAACCAGAGGGGTTGAAATGCCTTGGTCACATTGACCACGTAGCTTGAACCCACACTAGGTGTAAAACAATCGAACTGATGATTGACCCAATCACTCCACTGTTCAATCTGGTCGGGTGGTGATGCTCACGGACTCGTTCAGATAAACGCCGGCTAGTGCGGCCCATATACCTTGTCCAAATCGGAGCAAGTAAGTAAACACAGAAACAGACCGCAGAACCAGACAATTTATCTTTGAATTGAAAGTACAAAAGTGGTCTAGAGATTAACACAATGCGAAGTTTTGCTGCCAGAAATATTTTTTCTACAGCTGTATTCAGTTTACCCACCACGTTCTCGGCATTTGTGTCGCCCTTAATAGTGACATGTAAACCGGTTTTTTCTCAACGGCAGTAATCTTATTTAGTAACCGGTCCAGCTTCCAGTTGTTGTCCACGAATTATTTTGGGTAGCCATTTAGCAGAAAAACCTCTTGAGTAAACCTCAGTTCGCTCTCAACGGTGTCATCTTTAAAGATTCTCCACACTCTGGCAGCGAGACACTGAATCCAGTTTCTTTTCCGTTCCAATCGCACATAGATTTTCGAACTATTCCACGATGGCTTCCTGTGGATGGCGCATTGGATAGTTCTGTTTGATTGACAACTAAGTAGAACGTCCAGAAATGCGAACTGTCTATTCTCTTCGTTTTCCAGAGTGAACTTTATGTTTGGATGTGCCGAGTTAAGTACTTTTAAGAGTCTGGACAGATTCACACTGTCATCGACAATGCATAAAATGTCGTCCATATATTGCCTGTATAACGCAAAACGATCGATTGTTCGTTTGAAGCTGTTCTTCTTCCACTTAAATATTAATCTGAACTGGATAAGTGAGAAATTAGAAAATTGGTGCCGGGTTGGCAGGATTCGAATTAACCATCCGTGGAGAACAAATGGGTTTAAAACTCATTTGTAAGAGCATTTGATAAATTATTCTGTATAGATACAAGTGCTTAGAAAGCAATCGTTCCAACGCTTCACTGAGTTGTAAATTGAACGAATCAAGTTCGCGGACAGTGAAAACGAAGTGTAAGATGGTCCCGAATGCCAATGACCAACGAATAAAGTGGATATTTCGATAAGCTCTTTCAATACTTTGAATATAGATACATGGGTTTGCACAATGTACCCGTGGCCATTTCGCTGTATCTCTGTACACACGTGTACGTAGTGCAATCAAAGTAATTTATATGATCCTTAATCACAACAGACAGCATGAAAATGAGTAGGAGTCAGTCACCAAGGCAAAGCTCTAGTCTGACTAACCATTCACGTTGTTTGCATAGATCGGTTTAGAGGATATGAATGGCTAAGGCTTCGGCAATA